TTTTTCGCTGTTTTTTTTTTTTTTTTTTTTTTTTTTTTTTTTTTTTTTTGATACAGGGTCTCACTGTGCAGTTGAGACTGACTTGGAACTCACTTGGTAGCCCAGGCTGATCTCAAACTCAGTGATCCTCCTGCCTCAGCCTCCTGAGTGCTGGAACTACAGGCGTGTACCACCACGCCTGGCTATCCCCAGTTATTTTGTATTTTGAGACAAGATCTTGCTAAATTGCCCAGGCTGGGCTGGAATTTGTAATCATGCTTCATTTCTCTCAGAGTTCTGGGATTACAGGTGTGTGCCACCATGCCTGTAGCTTCTTTATATCATTTTTAAGTATATGTTTTTGTGACGTTCAGGAATTTTAAATATACCTTCTAATGCTTCAATTTTATTTTTCCCTTTTCAGGCTGGCATACATTTGGACAGTGTCATGTAGACTTCTGCTTAATTGGTTGAAGTGACTATTTCTTCTTTTTTGAGACAGGGTCTTAACTATGTAGCCCAGGCTGGCCACAAATTCACAGTGATCTTCCTGTCTCAGGCTCCAGAGTGCTGGGATTACAAGTGTGTGCCACCATACTTGGCTATAGTTCTGTTCTTGAAAGACATGTCTGCCTCTTTTTTATACAAAATGAGAGAATAATCATTCTGTACTTGTTGAGTTCCACCACGTGTGAAGAATTACAGATAAGTGCTCAACTTGGGACCATTCCACAAATGGAAAGACTGCATAGAAACCAAGAACCAGCTGGGCATGGTGGTGTATGTCTGTGATCCCAGCACTTGGGAGGATTACAAGTGAGGCAGGAGGATCTCTGTGAGTTCAAGGCTAGCCTAGGTTATATAGTGAGTTCAAGGCCAATCTGAACCATATAGCAAGACCCTGTATCAAAAAAAAAAAAAAAGTAGAGTTATATTTCTGCTACAGACTTTTAAATCCTGCTTCTGGTATGTGCTAAACACACAATGGGTGAGGATAAGCGTAGCTTTATTAAGCACCTCCTAGTGAGTGCCAAGCACTGTTTAACAGCAGTTGTCTGTGTTCTCTTATTTTAATCTTATTTAATGTCTCCTATTTTATCTTATTTTACGTTTTTAAAAAATGACTGAGAAGTCAAATCAGTGACACAGTTTCCTACAGTTTCTGTTATTAGGAATATTAGTACTCTATTAATTTTAAGTAGTTCATCCTATTGAGTTGCTTGCTTTACTATAATTGCCATATTCATATTTACTATTAAAGTTCAGAACTGTTTGAATTAGGTTAGGACTTAATTTCTCTGCTCAATCATGCTGTCTTCTATGGGTATGATAAGACCAAGTATGCATGCCATAATTATGATTTAGAACTCAAAAATGGCTAACTAATGATAGCTATTATTTGTCAGGTATTATTTGTACCCAGTTGTTTTTCACAATATCTTATAATGGAATTACTGGTCTCTATTATTATTTCTCTTTCTCTACCCTGTCTTACTTAACGAAATTTCTATATCTGCATACTTGATTATGAAAAAAACTAAGTCAGAGTCATTCACAAATTTTAACTTGCGGAAAATCACTGAGTGAGTATGTGTGGTGGACCTAGGATTCATGAAGTTCAATCCTGTCTGAATCTGGATCCATTTGTCTTAGCATCTATGCTTTAGTTTCCTTTGAATAAATTGTGAATGCACAGAGCAGTGAGAGAGGCTGTGCTGGTTCCAGGAATCAGAAAGCTTTATTGAAGGAGAGAGTATTTGATATAGGGTCAGAGAATGGGTAGAGTTTTGGGACTCAGTGGAAGGGAAAAAAGTTCAGCAGAGATTTAGATGTAAGAAAAGTATAGGGAATTAAAAAAAAGAGATTATTTGTTGAGTTATTAATATATGTTGGGCTTGGCAAGTTCATTACTTACATTATATTCTCAGAACCATTCTGTAAGAAAAAGATCATTCTTTTACAGATAAAGAAGCAGACTCAAAGAAGTCAAGTATTCTTAATTTGGTCAGTATCACACAGTAGGTGACAGCACCAGTATTTAAACCAGGAAGTCATTTTGCCTTCTGATTCATCTCCCAAAATGCTAAGTGTTCAAATGTTCAGTGGGATGCCAAGGAAATAATAGGTAGAGTGCCATCCACACAGGGTCTTGGGAAGATTCCCGTTGTAGTATACTCTATACAGTAGGGTGAAGAAAGCAGAGGTTAGTCTAAAAGGCCAGTGAAGAGGGGCTTATTGAGACAGTCCTCTTGAGAGGTGATAAGAACTTGAACAAACTAGTTTGAAGGCAATAATTTGAGTGTGATTATGGAGGAGAAATTTAGGAAGTATTATTAGATTCAGACACATGAGAGGACAGAGATAACAGAGGAATGAAAAATCAACGATGCCTGACTACAGCAAATAGTTGGCTACACTTGGGTCACTTGTGTTAAAACACTTCTTTTTTTCTGTACTCACACCACCTTTATAGTTTTTCATTGACTTAATGCTAATTGAATCTCTAAGGTGTGCCTGACACTGAATCAGTGGCCAGGACATTTATAATTTCCTGTCTAGTTTCCACTGCCACAGTTTGTTTCTTTTCTTTCTCTGTTTGATTCTCAACTCCACTGATGTGCCCAGCTGCTGATTCTTTGCTTCCTGCCGAAAAGATCTTTTTTCTACCTAGCTAAATCAAGACTCCACTGAAGTCAAACTCTCAGGTTGCCTTGCTTGACCTCTCTAATTTTAACCTCTCTCGTTCCCAACTTGGAAGGAACCATAACATGTAGAAAACCTGATGTCATGGTCAAACCGACATGGGTTTAAATCCTGGCTTGGCCATTTTACTCTGTGAACTTGAGCAGCTAACTTTGCTGAGCTTTGCATTCTTTATCTTCCAAGTGCAGCCTGTGTGTGAGATTATGTGGTGTGCAGTTTGTTCTTAGATGTTACTTTCTCTTCCCCTTTAAGCAGGATACCTAATCTGTTAGTGCTGTAGTTATTTAACCACAATGTAAACCTCAGGAGCAGAAGAAGAAACTAGATCTCCTTTTAAAATGTTTTCAATACTCAAATGCTTGCTAATGACTACTAAACTTAATTAATATTTGCACTTGTGATTAAGAGAAATTAATAAGAAGCTTTTAGAGTTACACCAAAGATAGGTAAATGTGTTTCTTTTGTACCATTCATGTTGTGAGGTTACGTGTTTGCTCTTTTAGCTCCTCTTGGGTTTGGAATGCAGATGTTGACTGGTTATCTTTGGTATATTTTTTATTTCTTCAGCTGTTTGATTTTATCACATTTTTTACGCATTTCAGTTTTCCCCATAAAGTTTCATAGATTCCTACAGCGATAAAGCTAGGAGGGACCTTAGCTCGTCCAGCCAATAGCCATGTTATGACTGTGGATAGTGAGCAGCAGGCACATAAAGGGGTAGAATTCATGTGGCTTAAATTTCTATCCTCATACTCTTTTTCATTATACTATGGTGTCTATGCTTCTCATAAATTCTTTAATTACCAAGATATAACAGAAGAAAGTTTAAAAAGAATGATTTGAAAAAATGTTGAAGGGGATACATACAGTATTTTTTAGTTTCCTAAACAGTATAGGTACAGTAAAGAATTGAAAAACCTAGTCTGAAATGAGCTCCTTTATGATAGGAACTTTGAGGGAGATAGGAACTTTATGAATGTTATACCTGAGACTTAGTCCATAGATTTTTTGATGTCTAGGTTTACCTATTTCATTATCAGCTCATGTGGATATCCAGAAGTCAAGAGATGATTGCAAGTTATAGATTGGGTGGTAGGTTGTGGAAGTAATTATACAGACTTTTATTTTTAGGGACCAAGGTGGTCGGACATTGTGTGGTGTAATGAGGATTGGCCTGGTCGCAAAAGGCTTGCTGATTAAGGATGATATGGACTTGGAACTGGTTTTAATGTGCAAAGATAAACCCACAGAGACCTTGTTAAATACAGTCAAAGATAATCTTCCTATTCAGATTCAGGTAAGTACAGTTTAACTGGGCGTCTAGGAGAATTTATAACAAGATAAAAATAGGCAGTGATCTTGATGAATTTAATAGCAAGAATTGGTAATAAGGTAGGTACAAACAAAAGGAATGTCACTTCTTTGGGTCAATGACTAATCTGTCACATTTAAAGCACATTTCTGGTGGTGAATACATAGGATATATTTACCAAATGAAGATGGCTGTTAAGACACAGTCTTAAACCTCAGGTATGTCTCGCTGAGAGTGTACATTTTTTTCCAGACTAGGACTCTCACCATTATAAAACTCTTGGAAGGGCTGGTGAAATGCAGAGAATTGAAAGATTGAAAAGAGCCTAGACAACTAAGAGATTTTTATAGCTGGTAACTTAAAGTTGATGTTAAGTTAAAGTTAAAGCTATGTATATTCACCCATCTGTTCGGTTAATGGAAAGTCACTAGTCCTTGTTTCCAAACCTTCTTCACATTGGGTGCATTTAGAATATTTTAATGTTGGTGTGCTCCCTGGTACTCCCCAGGGCTGAAGGCAAGAAGTATGGAGCTCTGGTCACCCGAAGATCTGTCTTGCCAGTTTTCCCTAAGTGGCAGTATTGCAACGCTGATCAGAAAGCTGTGATCATCATTCAGGTTCAGATGTGTGTTATAGGCAGTCTAATTATATTACAACTGTTAGATGATTTCATTTTGGTTTGTCTTTCATATCTGTGTCACAGAAATAGATACCCAAACTTTGAGTTGTTCAATATCCTGTTTCTTTTACCTCTAAAAGGGGGTCTCTTTTTTTTTCCTTCAAATAATATGAGCAGCAAATTTATTTTTGTGATATTGGTTACTAGATCATTTTCTTTTATATTCGCCAATGGGAATTTAAAATTGTCTGCTATTTTTAATCTATCCCCCTCCCTCCTCTGTGGTACTGGGGATTGAATCTGGGACTTTCACACTGAGCTGTAACTAGCCCTTTTTAAAATTTTGAGACAGGGTCTTGCTAAGTTGCTGTGGCTGGTTTTAAATTTGCAGTCCTCTTGCCTCATCCTCCAGCTGTTGGAATTATATCACACCCAGTTTATATATACTATTCAAATTTGTATCAACACTCAAATTTGTATTGTTGGCACATTCTCCTGCATTAATTTTTGAGACATTTTTTGATGGAGTAATATTTTCTGATCTTTCATGGTGTTTCTATTCTCCTACTCTCCCACATCCCTCCTTCCTGTCCTTTTTCATTCATCTTTTTGAGAGCCTGTGACTCCCCTGAGGAGTGAATGACATGGAATGCAATAAAGTTTTATGAAATGAGAGGCTCAACAAAAGTGATTTCTGACTACATGTTTTTGGTATAATATTAGTAAAATTTCTCTTCCTTTTTTTTGAGACAGGGTCTCACTATGTAGTTGAGACTGACCTGGAACTCACTATGTAGCCCAGGCTGATCTTGAACTCACAGCGATCCTCCTGCCTCAGCCTCCCGAGTGCTGGGATTACAGGTGTGGGCCACCATGCTCAGCTCTTCCATTGTTTTTTGTATCGTTTTACAATTTAATTTGTATTTTTGTTTTTACCATAGTGAACATTAAAAAAATTTTTTTAAAGATTTTTTTACTGAACATTATAATTATGACAAAGTAATAATCCAAAGGTCAGAATAGTATAGTAGAGGCTTTTTCAACTGTGTAACCCTTTTGTATTCCCTTTAGTGAGTCCTGTTTCTTAGGAGGGATCATATTTCTCATCCTCAGTTGTGTCTGAATGGAAAAAAGTGTTGAGAATCACTGCTATAATAAATCAGTTATTAATTCGGAATGTGTATCACATTTCTCCAGCTTTTGTTTTGTTTTGGTACTGGGGATTGAACTCTGGTCCTTGTGCTTGCAAGGCAGGTGGCAGAACCACTGAGTTTAATCCCTGGCCCTCTCCAGCTTTGAAGATTTTACAGATTGGGCCAGCCTTTGGTTTGTACTGGTAGATCTTTTTTTGTGTAGATTACAACTGTGTGAACTCTACATTGTTCCTTACCTTAGTGAGGGTCTTTATTTCTAGAAAAGTATTAAAATATTTGTGTTGCCTATCAAGTGTTCAAGGGATAATCCCTAAAGAGAGAGTAGATTGTGCAGGCTATTTCAAATTAGAGGGAGGAGAGGCCTTTCAGGCTAAAGAACCAGAGTTCTCCAGTAATATAGTCCACATTTTTTGTAAAGATACAGTGGTACCTAGGTTCATGAACTTAATTCATTCCATTATTCTGGAAAAGATGGCCACACTTGTGTTTGTGTTAAAAAAAAAAAAAATGGCTGTTACCTGATGCAAGTTTGCAAACAAATTTTGCCACTTGCTTCTATTCTCCTACCCTCCCACTTCCCTCCTTCCTGTTCTCTTTCATTTATATTTTTGAGAGCCTGTGACTCCTCTGAGGAGTGAATGACATGGGATGCAGTAAAGTTTTGTGAAAGAAACATTTGTGAACTGAGTTACCATTGTACATTTCCCTGAAAAATGGGGATGTTAATTGCCCACCCATCTTAGATTCAGTTATGTGCATGTATACATATAACACAAATACCTTCAGATGTACACAGAAGCACCCATTATTATTACTAATATTTTAGGAAATCATTTTAAGTGTGACTTTCACATATTTCCCTTGATTTAGTTACTTTTCTTATTGCTGAGACAAAGTACCTGACACCCAAAGCTAAAGGAAAAATGTGTTTCAATTCACTGTAGAGGTTTTCAGTCCATAATTGGCTGGCTCCAAGGCAAGGTGGCATGGCAGAGGGGCATCACAGAGGAAAACAGTTCATGGTGGGCAGAAGGCAGCAAAGCAACAAAGTAGTGGGAAAGCAGCAAGTGGCAAGCAGTGACAATAGCCCTCTTTCTGTCCCTTATATTCCATCAGGGTACCTGCCCTCGGTGGGTAGCACTCACACCCAGGGTGAGGCACCTTCAATCCTAACACCACACCAGAGAATCAATTTTAGCATCACTTCTTTAATCCCAGCATCACACTGTAGATCCAGTCACCTCTGAGAAGCTCCACCAGTTGACCACATGAGGCTTGGGGGAACATCTAGACACAAGCCATAACACCCCTCCACTCTGTTTTCTTAGTGTTTGTATGGAACAACAATTTCTGATAATGGTCTTATTTTCTTAGGGTTTAAAAATCTTTTTCCTGAACATTTCTCATAAGCAAAATATCCAGTTATCTTCATAGAGAAAGCTTTTGTAATAGCAAGAACCTACAAAATGTCACAATGTAGAATGACTTCTGCTGTCCCTAATAGCAGTTTGCTTTGTTTAGTTTAGAATTAACAGACACTGGAGGCATTAACCACTGAATGAGAAATCTGGTCTCATCCTGAGATAATAGGCAAATCAAGACCCCCCACCCCCACCCCCCTCCAAAGTTTTGTAAACCACGTGATTGTAAAGGTCAAGATGAAAAGAACCATTGTTAACTTTGCTTTCCTGACCAGGAATGCCCCTTTCCCCTGGGCTAGAGTAGATAGCTAGACAAATCTTAAAGGTAAACTCCCCTAACAACACAGAAGTGCTAACATCTGGGCTGATAGCTACAGAATCTTAAAGGTAAACTCCCCTAACAACAAAGGAGCATTACATCTAGGTTGAAATTTAACTGTCTTGTGACCATGATTTGTATATCAGCAATGTGGATCATGAGAAATGTAACCACCTGAATGAGATCAAAGCTGTAAAACCCTATAAAAAAAGGAGTTGTAACCTAGTGGATGGTCGATCCTGGAACTGCTTTTAGGTGTGATTGACCCTGGTCAGTGAAATAAATTTTTTATTTTACTTCCATTCTGTTCTTCTCTGTGTCACTTACCGATTCTTTCCATAACATTCTGAGTGTTTTAATTAATTGAAGCTGAAACACATCTTTTCCCTCCATGACTCTAGGATGATGAACTTCTTTGAAGCAAAGGAGGCAAAGGATGACTTCAATCATAAATCACTCACACTTAGTCTAAAACTTACTCTGTATTCATTACTTTAACTATATCTTACTGTGATACATGCATACCTGGAAAATTGTTTGACTTATTTTCCAGTGAAAATGAGTGTGGGTGATTTTCTGCTGTTGCATTATATTTTGGTTCTGGTGTTTCCATTCACTGTGTGACCTTTCCCTTTGGCTTCCTCTATTCAAAATTAGGATAATGAGTTTTCTCTTTTCCCACTTTTTGGGAAATGTTTAATGGTAAAATGCTGGTTTTGTGTAAATATGAGTTCTTTTAATACAGAGTAATGAGTAAAGACTTAGTGTTTCCATTCAATGTGGCTCTTTTATATTAGGTAATAAATACTAAATTCCAATACTTAAAGGCCTTGTGTGACTATTACATTATATCTTTAATGTGTGATAAAAGATCTCTATATTTGTGTTTATAATTGTATGTTAAAAGAAGCAATGTAAGTTTTCACAAGACTTGTCATAAAAGAAGTGTATAACTTGTTTATACCCATTTCTTTTGCTAGTAACTGTGCAGAGATCCCTTTTCATTTTTGCTCAATTTGGTGTAGAAAGCTACGTAATCTTATATTCACAAGTCCTTGGCAAATAGGAGGTCCTCTTTAGGAATTCCCAATTATTTCTTTATTATTTTACAGTAGTTCTCTGAAATAATTTCAAGAGTAATAATTTACCCTTTAATCACATGATGACAGTTGATGGTGTTAACATTTTATTTTTAGATATTAGAATGTTTTTGAATATTCATAATTGTATGGACGATTGACATTGTGATGGTTTTTTGATAGATAAAGATTTGCTAGTAAGCTGGGAGGGGAGAGAAGTTATTTGTAAAGAACTAGTTATGGATTTTGTTTCCTTTTTTGGCATAGTAATTCCAGTAGTTAACAACATTTGAAAATTTGGTGAATGCATTTACTTTTTGAGATTTTTTCAATCTAATTGCATATTTTTAAAATCTTGGTGACTTTCAGAAACTCACAGAAGAGAAATACCAAGTGGAACAATGTGTAGATGAGGCATCTATTGTAATTCGGAATACAAAAGAGCCCACACTAACTTTGAAGGTGATACTTACTTCCCCTCTAATTAGGGACGAATTGGAGAAGAAGGATGGAGGTACACTTACATAGATAAATATATATGTATATAAATTTGGTTTGTGTTGTGCAATATAAGACCGCTTAAGTGCCAACTTATTGTTCGGTTTTGCTTTGTCTAGTATTGCTTTGGTATCTATCAAGCAACTTATTCTAAATATTTTAGCTGAATAATTAGATCTCAGGATTACTTGTGGGTCAAAGCAGAATTGTTTTCAAATCACTCGCTTGCATATTGCTTTTGACTTTTAATAACTATATAATCTTTTAAAACTTATGTTTTGCTTTGCTGCATGTGTGTAATTTGCTTTATAATATAAGGATTGTGAATTGGATTAATTTTTTTTCAGTGAAGTTTTTAGTAAATTTTTTGGGGTTTGTGACTTTCTTAACATTTTGAGTATGATGCATGTGGGAATTGAGTTTTAAATTAACTTTTTTCTGAAAATGGTCGTTACATGGTAGTGTTAACCTCACCGACATAGAATGGGAAGTCTATTATTGGTAGTTTTGAGAAGTAATGGTAGAGGTGTGGTGGGCTTCTTTTTCTAATGTTTTTATCCTGTCAAATTAGCTTGTTTCTGCTCCTCAGTCCTGTCTGAGGAAATTTTGCCATGTTATGTTTTCCTTATGTCATACTTTTGACCAACTGGGGATTCTCTGTGTTGTTTTTCACCTCTTAAATTTCAAAAGTCCCATTGCACCAATATGGTAAGAAATACTGGTCAGTTTCATAATTTATTTCAAGTTTATTTCAAGTGATAAGGGTGGAAAAAGGTATATAAAGGAAGTTAAATTGTTAAATTTTTGGTAGACATTATTTAGGACGCTTCAACTAAAGTTATAGAAATATTTTAAACAGCATTTTTTGGTATGTAAAATCAGTTATACTATACCCACTAATAAATTTATGTGTCATATTTTAATCAAAGTTCATCCAGCCTATAATTGAGTTTATGCCTGTAGTACTTCACCTATATAGAGCATCTGTGGCACCTCTCAAGAATCAATCTTAAACGGCTTAATTTTTTTTGACAGCAGAACTTTGATTTCTGATGTATCAAGATAAATGTTAATTCTGGTAAGCTGTATTCTGTTTGACCCTGTAGTACAAAACCAACCATTTTAAAAGTAGAGTTGTAATTATAGGTATTATTAAAAATTACTTGAGTATAAGGAGATGAGAAAAAGACTTAAGTTGCCAAAGCTTAGGTTAATTGTGTGTTTGCTTGAACCTGTTGGCCTCCTTTCCATCACTTCTTTGAAGTCAAGAGCATATCAGGCTTCCTTTTCCCAATAGTTTTGTGTACTTACGTGAGATCTTGCCATAGCTTTTACTAATACCTTTGAGCTTAGCCTGTTTCCTTAAAACCTTAACTTCTGTTCATGGAAGCTGAAAATGGATTCTTAGTGTATTATATCCTTTTGCTGGCACACTGTTTATCATAACATGAGATTTGAAATAAAGTAGGAAAGTTGTAGTGTCTGCTTAAGATATTTGAGTTACTAAGAAGCCAGACATTTATGAGCTGATGTGTTAGATAAGATGAAGGAATCAGTTTGAAACTAATGTTTTACATGTATTACTTTCTACCCTCTTTGATGGCAGAAAGATTTGCTTTGCATTATCCTGAATGTCCCAGCCCTGTTGACTCACTTGATTTTTTATAATTTACTGATTTTGTCCAACCTGGCCTTTGTCATACTAGTTTCATGTATGCCTGGGCAACTGTGGAAATCCCACATAACTGAGCATTTCAAATATGGGCTAATTCAATTTGCTCACACTAGATACTCCTCATCTAGCAGTGCAGTTCTTTGCACATGCTTGGGATAAAAATACTACAAGATTCACTCAGATTCTGTGAAGTTCTAGGACTGAAAGTTGGACCCCTCTTTTTAATTTCTACTCACTTTTCTTTTTCAAAGTTTTAAAAATACCCATTGTAACTTTTTTCTTGGAGACATTGTATCTTGACTTCCTTGACCCATCCCCAAACAATTTATAATAATACCTACCTCATGCATTTCATTCCCTTTTAATTTGCCACGTATTTTTGTAAAATCTAAACAGTGGAGAGCTGGGTGGGCTTGGTGGCTTATGACTGTAATCCCAGCATTTGGAAAACTGAGGCAGGAGGATTGCTGCAAGCTTGAGGCCAGCCTGGGCTGCATAGTCAGTTCCAGACCAGCCTGAGCTACAAAGTGGGACCATGTCTCAACAGCAACAACAAAATGAAACAAAACAAAATCTAAACAATGGAAAAAAGTATAGTTGAGAGCCAGCAGAACCAGGGAACTGAGGCAAGGTAGAGCATCAAATTTATCTCCTTGATCCTCCTAGAAGTGGATCTAACTGCTTATTTTATGTCATTTTTTTGGTACTGGGGATCAAACTTGAGCCCTTGTGCTTGCAAGGCAGGTGCTGGAACCACTGAGCTAAATCCCCGGCCCTAACTACTTATTTTAAATCACCACTTATATTTTAAATTGCCATAGTACACTCTGAATATCCTTGGTATTGTTTATATTGTTTACCTTTCACAGGTAAAGCTCTTCCTGTGCTGTCAGACACCTTTCATATTCTGCCTCCTTACTTGAAGGCCCTGTGGAGTAACCATTTCCCCATTAGTATTTCATTTTTCTTTTTAAAAAAGATATAGGAGAAAAAGCATAGACCTTGGTGCATGGCAATACTCCCTTAGTATTGCTTTGTGACCTTGGGGAAGCTTCATTTTGAAGTGTAGTTATTAAGTATCTTGAAAAGTTGTTTGGAGTTTAAAGGAAAGAATTTATGTAATATGACCTATACTGTATAATTACTGGCGCAAAATACTTGTTCAGTGAATAGTGGTAGCCACTCAGTTTATTGAAGAGGTATAGTGCAAACTTCACCTTGTCAAACTGCCTTGAGTTAACAGTGAGAGTAATCAGTGCACAATAGAGACCTGCCTGAACTGAAATGTTAAGCTCAACCACTCACTCAAGTGTAGTGCTGGAATTAGCATATAGTATTTTCTGCATTTCTGATAATGAGCTGGCTTATTTTATAGCTAGTGATTATCTGAGGGCAGGTTTATTTTTTCCTATCCTTATCCTTAGTGCCTGTGTATGATGCCTAATATGTAGGAGGTGACTTTAAAAATCCTGCACATAAATCTGTGAAGTAAATTTACACAGTCAGCACACTGTCTGATAAATGGGACTGTCCAGTGGGCAAGAAAGTATTAACTGTGGGTGTTTCACAGCGCAAGCAAATATGCATTGGAGAGCCATCTGTGTTAGGGTATTTCATGACCTACTGTGTGATAAGCATTTCTCTCATATATCACTTATCTTAAAAACCCCTCACTAGGGCTGGGGACTTTGCTCATTGGCAACATGCCTGCCTCACAAGCACAAGGTCCCGAGTTTGATCCCTGGTACCAAAACAAAAAAAAACCCGAAACCCTCACGAGAGTCCTGTGAGGTACATGTTGCCCTGTCTCATAAATGAGGGAAATGTCACATTTGCTCAGCTCCTCTGACTTGAAGTCTGATATCCAGTGCACAGTGTCCCCTTTTGTCTGAGGCTATCGCTTGCATGAATGCTTTAGCTAATATAGTCATTCTGAGCATCACAAAGTCTCAGCTTCTTTTGGTGCTTGTGATTTCAAACCAGTAGTATATTTGCTGTTGAGGGTAATAAATCATCTTTTTATTATATTTCTAATGCAATTTGAAACCAAGTGGATAAGGAAAAATAGAGACTCTTCTGGTTTAGACTTAAACAAAAATCTGTCCTTAGTACTGGGATGGTTTCAGGAGTGCAGAGAGAAGTCCCTGTGAGTCTCTCTTTGTGTACTGGTGCCTGTGTGAGCGTCTGATAACTCTTAGCAGAAGTTCCCTGGTGTGTGTCCAGAGATCACGACTGGGATTATGATGCTACAGTCTTTATTTTCCTGCCTTCTCTGGCAGCTAATCTTATCCTCGTATCCAAAGCAGAACTTTGGCTATTACCTTTCTTTCCTTCCTTCCTTCCGTCCATCCGTACGTCCGTCCTTCCTTCGTACCGGGGAATTGAACTCGGGTCCTTGCGCTTGCAAGGCAGGCCACCAAACCACTGAGCTAAATTCCTGCCCCCCCCCCTTTGAGACGGGGTCTCACTATGTGCTTGCACTGACCTGGAACTCACTATGAACTCACAGTGATCCTCCTGCCTCAGCCTCCCAAGTGCTGGGATTACAGGCGTGCACCACCATACCTGGCTTGGCTATTATCTTTCCAATGCTTGACTGTCACTGAAGAAAAGTCACATTCAGTGACATTACTAGCATAAATCATGAGAACAGTCTCTTTCTGGTTTTACCTTATTGCTACATTTACCTGTCCACATTACTGTGTCCCGACATTTTGCTAGGACAGTGACTTGGGACATAATGTCCTCTTTCCAGAAATCCTCAAGGAATTGAGAGAGAAGGGGCTGTGATGATATCCTCAGGGTAACTGGAAAATTCTGTCAGTGTGAACTCAGTAGATAAGGTTCATCCAGTCTGTGAAGGAGCCTGTTATGATGCCCTAGCTCAGTTATTTTACTTTAGAAGTGTCCAGATTCTAGACATGGAACTCCTACTTAACATAATCCTATTTGGATTTTTCCTGCCCCATCTGCAGGTTAGTGCTCTTGTTAATTGGGTCAGATAGTGTGCATGTAGGTACTGAGAGAAACTGGCCAACATTTCATGCAGTTTGATGTGATTCTGGTCATTGATCTGATCTCTGACCAAATAAATACAGATAGGCATGATGGGCTTCTTCCCAATGCATTCATAGTGCAGAACGTTGGGTGTACCTTCATGCCTGGAATTCATAACCTGGATGTCAGGTTACTGAATAATTTTTTTTTTTTAAGTTTTTTGAGGCAGGTTTTCCTTGTGTATGTAGTTCAGGCTGGTCTTGAGCTCACTATGGAGTTTAGGCTGGCCTTGAACTTGGAGCAATCCTCTTGCCTCACAGCCTCCTGAGTGCTGAGATCACAGGTGTGGGCCACCACTCATGCCCTGAATAATACATTTTAAAAATGTATTTTTTTTTGTTTTTGGCATTTTTTGTCAACACCCCTCCCCCTAACCTCCCATGCTCTTTTTTATAGCTGATTACTGATCACTGTAGGAAAAAAGGGAAAAATTTCTCAGTCCTGTTGTTTAATTAGACGTCATGATGTCTTTTTATCAGAAAAGCTTCTTCCTGACATAATTGAAACACCTGTATTAATGTCCAGAAATACTAAACTTGAGGTTCTGTTACTAGTAGCAGTGTTTTCCCAGAAGCAGTTCAGTGATTGCCACTTTAGTGAATTGATTGATTGATTGACTGATTGGCCGTGGACTCACTCAGCCTGCTGAATGCTGTGATTACAGGTGTGTGCCACCACATTCAGTGTGAAGTTATTTTTTTTAGCCAATGGAAATATATAAAATAGTGTATTATTAATCACATAAAGAAAATAGGCAGACTGGTCTTATAAGTAGCACTGTAATACCATATGACTTAATATTGTTTAATATAAAAATAAAGGTAAAAGTGAGATGAATTGAATCTCTTCTACTGTTTGAAACATTTTGGACCTTTTGACTTTTTGACTATCAGAGCATGAAGAATCCTGGTCATTCTGATGCTGATGTAAAGGGAAACTTGCAAATCTTCAATCCAGTGCCTGTCCCTTTCATCCCTTTTTAGTAGAATCTGTTGTCTCCAAATGTTGACTGTTGTAATAAGCTGATGACTTTTTTTTTTTTAATCAAGAGTTTGTGGTCATGATCTTGACTCTGAGATGAGTTTTGTCAAAATATTTTTTCATTTTTTCCTCATTTAAAAATATCTATGTCACATCAGAATAAGATGTTTTTAAGCTCTGACCACTGGCTGAAATATCTAATACAGACTATTTATCTTCTTTGATGTTCATTTTTAACATCTTTTTTTTCCTTTTTATTGAGTTTATTGGTACAATCTAGGTATACAATACAGTTACATTCATCATTGGGATTCTGTACCTTTACATAATAGGTCTTGATTCTCATTTTTTCCCCCTTGTCCCTGCCCTCCCTTCCCCCCTCCCCATTTACAAACACTTTATTTTCATTTTTTCAGTTTCTCATTTTTTTTTCCTCTCCCTTACTACCTTTCCCCCACCCTTCCCACTTTCCCTACACCTTTAGCCCTTTACTTCCTATTTCACATTATTATTTCATTAGGATCCTGTGTACTATTATAGTTTTTCACACCAAAGAAACTATTCGGTATTTCAGTTAAAGAAATCTCTGTATGAACATTAAAAATAGGGAATCCTAAAATAAAACTAAACAGGAAAGTAAAAGAGAAAAGGCAATGATGTAACATGAAAATAATCCTTAATTCTGGAGATGAAAATGGTCCCTGAACATATTTAAATTGCTTCTTGCTCTTATAGTCTTATCTTATTCTTTTTTTCATTATTTAGAGAATACTTTATTAGTTTCTGTAATCAAACCCACGTAAATATGACCTTACATACTTAGTACGATGTGTTACCCCTGTACACGTGGAAAAAAAATAAAAAATAAAAAATAAATAACATTTCTAGACCAATATGGTTGTCCATTTCTGTACAATGCCAACTCAACACAGTAAATTGGGATGACTTTTTCCAAAGTTGGCAGCTCCATTAAAGTTTCCCAAAATTCAATTTATATATATATATCTATATATCTATATATCTATATATCTATA